TAACACCCTGCACAATAAAAATGATTAATCAACCTCTCATAATTACAAAAAAAATGAACAAAATGAAAAATTATGATTGGTTGAATGCGGTTTGCACGGTTTGTACAAATTGAGTGGTTTGCATTTGATCGCTCCCCTATATATATATATATATATATATATATATATATTGTATTACTAGTCGTGTGTCTGTGCAATGCGACAGAAGCCTTGAATTTTAACGATTTTGAAGTTTCACTGATTTTATTAAAGAATATTTAACGATGATATAAGTAACAATTGATCTTTACATATTAATACATTTTGAAGAAATATGAGTTATAGTTCCAATTACAGTCTATCAATGAAAAAATTTGTATGACAATTTAAAACCCAACATATTTAAACGACTCCATAAATGTGTTCGATTTACGCCAAGAGCATAAAATCAAGAGAGCGAGAACGAGAGTTCTAGAACAATTGAATGAGAGATGAACGAGCGAACTTTTAGTAACTCATAGTGAATATCAGTTTGAAACTCATCTTGGGGATGAGGAGAATACATAGAGGTATGGGAGGATGAAGACATGAGTGAAAATGTGTCAAACGTATATTGGGAACAGGAAAAGAAAAGGCAATAATGTGCATTGGTAACTTGTATTATATGTTATTTTAATTGTAGATTAAGAGAACCACAAGGGTGGTGCCTCATTGGTTTCAACTTGGCTCCAAAGGTCAAAATTACCAGGAGGTCTCAAGTACAAATCTAAGGAGGAATAAAAATCCCTCACGGAGGTTCAAATGCGGTGACTTCGGGCGATCTGCAAAACAGGTGGTCGTTCTGTGATTAATCGGCTCGCATAGCGGGTTGGATATCCAAGTTAATAAAAAAAAATTGTAGATTAAGAGACTTTAAGAATAAATGCATAAAGTAGTAGTACTCAATGCATTATGAGTTGTTTTTAAGACTTTGTGCATAAATGTATAGTACTTTGTGCATTAAAAATTGTTTTTAAGACTTTTGATAAATCTAGTTTATAAGGTAGTATAGATAAAACATTTGATAAATAACCATTTTTATACATGAAGTACTGTTTAATAATATATATTACTTAAAATTTAAGTTTACAATAAAACTGTACGTAATTACAACTTATTAAAACTACATTATTGAATTCGTGTAACTAACTATAGATAAACATAATCAAGTACATGATAAATATCTAACTTTAAATATAATTAAGATAATTATTGAGTTATACCTATAACAAATTACTTGATTATTATTTTTATAAAAATTATATTATTAAACTAAAAATAAATCACTTCGTCATTAAAACTAAATTAATTTGTAATAAAAATAAATAAATTAAAGAAATTACATAAAAAACGAGAATTTATAAATAGTTAATTTAATACTAATATCGATATAATTTTTTTAATTTGTATGAATATAAACATTATCGCTTTCTTAAAGTCATATAAAATTGTATTATATCGACTTATTCAAAAAATAAAACGGAACATTATCTCGATGTATCTCATTTCATTGCACTAGTATCCTTCTAGTTTTATTATAAAAACATTTGATAAAAAAACTCTTAAAAACCATATTTTATACATAAAGTACTGCTTATCGATGCATGTTACTTAAAACTATAAGAGTATTCGCGCAATGCAGCGAAATACATCTCATTTTTAATGATTTATCTTATTATTTGTCTTTATCGAATGTTATAATACGATTTTATATGTTTTTAAGAAAGCAATAATGATTTTATTTTTAAATAAAATATAAATTTGAAAATATCAATAAAATTTGGAATTTTTTTTTATCAATGTTAGTATCAAATCAACTATTTAAAATTTCTCATTTGTTATGTAGTTTCTTTAATTTAATTTTTTTTATTATAATTTAATTTAAATTTAATAATAAAATAATTTAATTTTGGTTTAATAAATCACATTTTATAAAGATAATAATTAAATATTCTGTTAGAACTCAATGATTATCCTAATTATATTTTATATTTTTTATATTTAAAATGAGATGTCTATCATGTATTTGATTATGTTTATTTGTAGTTAGTCATACGAATTCAGATATGGAGCTTTAATAAGTTGTACTTACATGCAATCTATTTATAATCTTGATATTTAAGTAACATGCATTAATAAACAATACTTTATGCATAAAAAGTGGTTTTTAAGAGTTTTTGTCAAATGTTTTATAATATTGTATAGATTCAAAATTACAAGTAAATTGTGCGTAAGTACAACTTATTAAGCTCAATGTTTAAATTCGTGTAACTAACTGTAAATAAATATAATCAAATACATGATAAAATTCTTATTTTAAATATAAAATCTAAAATATAACTAGGATAATTATTGAGTTATAACAGAATACTTAGTTATTATCTTTATAAAAATTATATTATCAAAACCAAAAATAAATTATTTCGTCATTAAACATAAAATTAAACTATAATTAAAAAATTGAATTAAAGAAACTATACAAAAAAGTAAGAACTTGTATCCAAACTAAGGCGCCGTTTGCCAAACCCTTACCCGAGTAAGCACTTACAAAGTCACTTTACTTTACCGGATGAATATGACAAGGACTAAGAATCTTACCCGGTAAGAGCGAAGGCAAGAATCAAGAGTCTTATCAGTAAGTGAGGATGACGACTCTTACCATGGTTTGCGCTTACCGGGATAATTTGTTACATACGATGCGTTTTAGTGAATAAAATTTTACCTGGTAAGTAAGTAAGCGATAGTGTTGAATTTTACCAACAAGTGCTTACCGGGTAAGTGTTTAGGTAAACGGCACATAAGGTTTGCTACTCTAGATACCCAATGGTTCTTTTGGAGATTAATTCAGGGGTTCGACATATTCTCACATAGTATCCAAACTAAGTTTTGCCACTCTAGAGACCCAAAGTCAGGCTAACCCACTCTCAACACTATGGGACAATGAGTGTCTATCTAGCCTCCATTGAATAGGACGTAACAGAATCTCATATCGACTAGACTTGGACCCTTTATCCTCAAAGGCTTTTTTAAAAATTAATTTAGAGGATTCCACGTATTCTAACAATGAATAAGTAGTCGGTATCAGTATCCGCTTACCATAATTCTAATTCACAAGTTTTCACAACCCTGCTTTTTTTTATTATTAATTGTTTATTTGAAACAACTTATGCTTTTCTACAAAAACACTTATCAACTTATTATAAGTCAGAAGGGTTTGACTTATTCTAAAATTCCTTATTATCGGTTTGGCACAGGTATAAGTTGTTTATCCAAACACTCAAAAATGTTTATTACCGATGTCACATCGGAATAAGTCGATAAATTATGTATCAAATCAAAATCGCATTTTTTACACAAAATCCTCTTCGTCATCATCGTCGTCCTCGTCAAAAAAGGCTTGATCCTGGTGTTTTCTTCAAACTCTCGTCTTTCATAATCTCCCTCAACCTCGAAACATCCTCCCACCGTCCAATATCCGCATACATATTCGACAAAACAACATAAGCACCATGATTATGCTGCTCCAATGCAAGCATCTCCTTCACAACTCTTTCAGCAACCTCAAGATTTCCATGGCTGCCACAAGCACTCAAAAGGGCTCCCAAAATCTTCAGATCAGCTTTCCATGGCATTCTCTTAATCAACTCCTCGGCCTCCGATACCTGCCCACATCGACCTAGAAGATCAACCATACATCCGTAATGCTGTATCTTGGGCTCGATTCCATAAACACTCCTCATTGAGTTGAATATTTTCCGGCCAAAATCAAGCATTCCGGCATGGCAACAAGCAGATAGAACTCCAACAAACGTCCTATCGTTTGGGATCACCTGATGTTTCTCTAGATCCTGAAAGAACTCAAGTGCTTCTTTGGCGTGTCCGTTAACTGCTAATCCTGAAATCATCGCATTCCAAGTTACTATGTTTTTTTGAGGCATATCGTTGAAACAATTTCTTGCCATTAGAAGTGATCCATTCTTGGCATACATGTTCACTAGAGCAGTACCAAGAACAACTCCGGTTTCGAATCCTTTATCTTGTATGTATCTATGGATCTTTTCTCCCATTTCTAAACACCCTGATTGTGCACAAGCTGACAACACCGATGAAAGGCTCGGACCATTTGGTTCGAATTTTCGGGCAACCATCTCATTGAACAGCCCCAATGCGTCTTGTGGGCAATCATTTTGAGCATACCCACAAACCATTGTGGTCCAAATGTTGACATTTTTGTCAGGCAATTCATCAAACAGTTGGCGGGCATGTTTCATACTGCAAGAAACGGAATACCCTCTGATCAAATTATTGACAACATGCAAATCGAGGTCTAATCCGACTTTCACGACTTGGGTATGTACTTGTTTGCAGGATACAATCGATTGTAAGTTGGAACAAGCTTTGAGAAGAAAGGGGAATGTGTGTTTACCCGGTGTAACACCGATTTGACGCATCTTTATATACAGAAACACAGCTTCACGTGGATCAGGGCCGCTCGCTAGGCCCCTAATAAGGGTGTTCCACATAAACATGTTTGGTTGTTGTACAGTGTTTAGTAGTTTGGAAGCATAATTTAGGTCGCCGTGGAGGGAAAGAGCGGAGAATGATAGTAAACGGCTAGCGGCGAATTTGTCGTGGATGGTGGCAGAGACGAGCATTTGAGCGTGGATTTGTTGAAGTTGGCGCATCGAAGTGCATTTGTCTGCGAGCAGAGATAAGTTCGGTGGGTATGGCTGTATATGAGCAGGTCTGACCGTGGAGCATGACGACTGAGGGCGATGTTTCCCGATGAGTGGTCGCCGTAACATATATGCATTCACCCAGATAACCTAGCATGCAGGGTCCATTTAACTGCAAATCTTAGCGCATCTCGTTCAAATAGAGGAATACTGCTAGAACCAATCCAACAATTATTGAATTACACTTCCAAAATTAGAAACAAAACATAAATTTACAGGAATTTAACCAAGAAATTCGGTAAAAATCGAACCTTTTACGATGAAATCAATATGTGTAGTGATCGAGAGATAGAGGCCTGCAATTACAATGACCCAAGACGAAATTCCGCTCCCAATCGTGCGTTGGTAAACGGACGTCGTCTTGATGATACAACTATCTAACCGGATTGATGCACGTCAATCCGAATCCATCGAATCGATAATACGTTCCATGAAACAACGATACGTAGAGGAAATTTTGAGAGAGAATTGTGTGGAAAAATCGTATATGATTTTCTGGAAGCAAAAGGGATTTATACCTTTCCAATCTAACCGAAATAAACTGCAAAAACGCAGTTACAATGCCCGCACGGTTATAGTCGCATGAATACCCACGTGAGACACTGTTGTCGAATTTGGCAAAAACATGATTAGGTCATAAGGGTCCAAGCTCCAAGGCCCAATCTTTTGACCATTAAATATTGGGTAATGTCACACCAAAACCCATTGAAAATCCTTCTCTTCAGTCTTTCTCCAACTTGATAAATCATATGAGTATGGTCATATTAACACATGAAACTTTCCCTCTATTTCTGATGTGGGACAAGTTTGGACTAATATCCAACAAATACTACTCCAATTAATCTCTTTTGTGCAGTTTTAACCCAATTTTGCACATATATTTTAGGTATTTTTGTTCCAACAGATTTATTAAAACCTTTCTCTAAAATAGACAAATGACTCGAGACGATGAAGTTCTTTAAATCTTGAGATTTCTTCAAAAATGATTATTTATAAAAGTCCAGGAGATATTATTAAAACCTTCTTGTTTTAATTTAAGGGTCTGTTTGGCTCATGATGAGAAATGAAAATAACAATAAATGAAAATGAGAATAAAATTTTATTTCTCCAATTTAACCAGTAATGAAATATATATATTTTTTTGGAATTAATCCATTATATCATTGAAAACCAAACATTTTCTTTTATTTTCATTTTTATTGATTAATGGTTGATACCTCTAATCAAACACCCCCTAAATATTTAGGAGATATTAATATTTTATGATAAATATTGAATATTTTAATAATATAATTAATTGTGTAGTCTCCAAAATATAGAATTTGTTGGAGATGAAGACTTTTTTTTTGGGATTTTGACTTTTACTTCTCTATTATGGATAATCTGTTGAAGATGCTCTTAAACTTTTTATTTAAAATGGAGAAACTAAAATATACATGAACTTCTCTAAATAGAGAGTTCTTCAAAAATGATTAATAAAGTAAGATTATTTTTTATTTCCCTTGTCAATAAGAATCTTTGATATTAAGGTGCCGTTTGTTTTTTAAGAGGTGTTGAAGTCTTGACGTTTGATTTCATTTCTGATTTTTAAGATGTGGTGCTGAAGTCTGAAATCTGAATCAATCATACTATTTGTTTTTACGTCTGAAGTCTGAAATCTGAATCAATCATATTGGTTATAGCAATGTTTTGTTTCAACATGGATTTGTATTTCTCTCTTTCAAAGTTTTAGTCAAATAACAAAAAAATTCAGAGTTTTCCTTATGGTGGGTGGAGTTGAAATCAATTGTATTCTGGAATCTGAATCTAATCCGTCGATCACAATATTATCATGAGATTCGTAGAAAAGGATATTGAGATATCAGCAGGAGATGGTGATCTTCTTCGTCGCCTTCATATTTTGATTATGTATTGTGTTGGTCGTGAGGAGAATCGTGGATCATTGTAAGATGAACCAACGACGATAAATAATTGATTTAAGAGGTATTAAGTTATAGGTTTGTCACTTAAAAATTCAGATGAATGAAACATCATTTAAGCTCTTATTTTGGAAAAGAAAAAAAAAACGGTCTGAAAATGGAAATGTCCAAACGATTCAAACTTAATAGGTGATTAAGAGGAAATTTCAAAAAAAATAAATAGGGCCTAAATGTACATGAGTGATAAATAATATTTTATAAAAAAGTATTAATATTTTAATAATATAATTATATTGTAATCTACGAAAACCATAACATTCATTCTCACCGAAAACTCAACCCTTTGATACATGACGAATGATCGCATGAGAAGGAAAGTTAATGTGAGAAACATGAGAAGGAATCTAGATCTTTGATCACCTTTAATCTCAAACTCACACATAAATCGCGTTTGATACGAGAACTGGTTCGGTGCATTTCAGTGCATCTCATTCTAATATGTATCCAAATATGAAGATCCCTTCTTATGCTTATCAACTTAACTCTCATTCTTACCGGAATCCAACCCTTGGTTCATTTGTCAAACATTTATAACTGTTTTGGTAATTTATTTCATATAGACATATTTCCCCGAAAATATCATATTCTTCTTTTTATCTATATGAGATAACCAGATCCAAAACCAAAATCTATCACATTAAACTGTCAATATATCATAATAAATCATGAGGGGTTCTTTGTCGAAAAGAGTACGGGTGCTCAAAACATCAACCAACCCGACCAAAAACACTCAATTTGTGCTAACTCGATACATAGTTGATATAAAATTAAATGAACCTGCATCTATTAGGTTGAAATTAGGTTAGAATTTTTTGAACCGACCCAACCCAACCTCATGCACTTTTATACTATAGATTTAATATGATTTTTAAGTCATTGATTAACATATATACATTAAACATTAAAATAATCCATAATTAGCTATGTTCAAAATTATATTACAATATCAAACGTACCTTTAGTTTGTTATTTACATGAACCTTCAACTTTCTCTTATGAGTTTCTTAGTGTATTTGTTATGTTATCATTTTGATTTTACTTCATTTAAACAAAAAACACTTGGCTAGATTGTAAAATGATATATGAAAGTTTCAACCCGACCAACCAACCAACCAATACAATTTGGGTTGTAACTTTTTATTGGGTTGAGTTGTTCAAATGCCTTCAATTTGGCCAACCCAACCCATGTGCAACCATAGAGAGTCACCACTCCACTTATCTTATCGTGTAACATTATCGATCATCAGAACAGATTATTGATAAACTAAAAGGGTACTCGTGCAATGCATCGAGATACATCTTGATTTCAATATTTCGTTTTATTCCTTTTTTATGTCGATATAATACGGTTTTATGTGGTTTTGAAAAAACGATAATGTTTTTATATTTGAATATAATATAAATTTAAAAATATTATAAAATTTTGAAAATAGTATACCAATATCAGTATCAAATTAACCTTTTTAAAAGTTTTTGTGTTTTGGTGTAATTTCCTTAACTTAATTTAGGTTTGATAATATTTTTTTTATAAAGATAATAACTAAAGAATTCTGTTAGAACTCAATGATTATTCTAATTATATATTAAATTTTTTATATTTAAAATTATATGTTTATCCAATATTTGATTTATTGATTATGTTTATCTGCAGTTAGTTACACGAATTCAAATATGAAACTTTAATAAGTTGTATTTATGCACAATTTACTTGTAATCTTGAATTTTAAATAATATGCATCAATAAACAATATTTCATGCATAAAAAATAGTTTTTAAGAGTTTTTGTCAAATGATTTATAATACAGTATAGATAATTTAGATTTAACAATATATTTTTTTATAAAGATAATAACTAAAGTATTCCGTTAGAACTCAATAATTATCCTAATTATATTTTAGTTTTTTTATATTTAAAATTAGATGTTTATCCAATATTTGATTATGTTTATCTGCAGTTAGTTACACGAACTCAAACATGAAGCTTTAATAAGTTGTACTTATGTATAATTTACTTGTAATCTTGAATTTTAAGTAATATGCATCAATAAACAATACTTCATACATAAAAAAAATGATTTTTAAGAGTTTTCTGTCAAATGCTTTATAATATAGTATAAATATAGATAATTTAGGTTTAGTAACAAAGAAATTTAATTTAAGTTTGATAGTATAATTTTTTATAAAAATAATATATAAATATTGAATAGTTATCAATGATTATTCTAATTATATTTTTGATTTTTTATATTTAAAAGGAGATGTTTATCCAATATTTGATTATATTTATCTACAGTTAGTTAGACGAATTTAAGTATGGAGCTTTAATAAGTTGTATTTATGCACAATTTACTTGTAATATTAAATTTTAAGTAATATGCATCAATAAACAGTATTTAGTACATAAAAAATCGTTTTTAAAAGTTTTTGTCAAATGCTTTATAATATAATATAAATGTTTATTGAGTTAAAGACTCTTATATCTCACCCGATTAAATTATATTCGATAAACCTGATAAACATTTGATAACAACCCCCACATTATTTACATTAAATTTTGTGTAATACAACGTTAACCAAAGGAGATAACATCAAAGTAATTTCATTCTCCGTGGCAACCGAAGTGAAATACGACGCACCTCCGTCTCAAATTCTAACGTAACGCTGCTTTTCCCACGAACCACGTCACAGCCACTCATCTCACCCTCCATTTTCTTCAAAATATCTGTGCGGTCCAAACGGCTTTTGGAACCTTGTGGGGTTCCACACCCACCTGTGACGGTAGCACTCCTCTTGTCCTGTTTACCTTTTTATTTGTTCATTGCCATCTTTCGCATCCCCTCTCGCACACCACAATCCACTCAAAGAAGCTGAGAAATGCCAGGAATCAGAGCGCCATCCAACTATTCAGAAGAACCTTCTCGTCATCCTTCTCTCAAAATCAACGCTAAGGCAAGCTATCTTTTGGATTTTTCCGGCATATAGTCTAAAATCTTAAGAACAATCATCAGCACAAAACTAAAATCCAAAACCCTATTGATTTGGGATGGATGGAGTATCATTATGTGTATCGGATTGTTTCAGTTTTTGTTGTTCTGTCTTGATTTGGATATGTTTATTCTGAGTTTCTATGATTATCCAGTAAAAATTCTGTGTATTGCAACGTATTAATTTAAGATGTATACTCGTTCTGCTTGATTTGTTCGTATTTCTGATAATTGAGATGAATGGATTGGATGTTAGAAAACGAACAGGAAATAATAAATTAAGGTCTTGTACACTTAGAATTTGACTCTGGAACTCAGTTATATGTCTGTAAATTTTGATTACACTCTTGATTGTTAGTATTGAGTTCCTTTATAGTCAAGATAGCTGCAATTACAGTTTTGAGATACAATAATAGACATCCAAATTGACATAAGTCATCAAAAGGTTTGAGAGAACTTTGATAACCACATTAAAAATCAAGTTGCAACATATGCTAGAAGTAAAATTGTGATGGTACCAAAGTTTGAGATGATCTATGTGATTTGAATTTTAGAAAAAATACTAGATTTGGCCTCAAAGTGGAACAAGATACATCTTTTTCCGAGAACATAGGGATTGTCATGTTACCTGGAATTTGTTGATTCATAAACATATCTGGTTGCACACATACAGTTTTATTTGCATGCATGCGTGCCGGACTTCACAAACGTGGTTATCAAATTGGGATAATGGCATGTGGTTTTTGTTTGGTTACTTTGATCAAAGTATTTTTAAAAATTGACTAGTACTGCCATCTTTTTGTATACTGGATTACTGGGTACTGACATTGTGCCGGGCGCCCGGGCCTTTTCTTCTAATTCGAGTGTATTTAATACAATGAGTAGTTACCAGATTGACAATTTTTGTTACAGGAGCCCTTCAATGCGGAGCCACCACGTCAAGCTTTGGTTTCTTCTTATGTGACTCCTACGGAGTTCTTCTACAAGAGAAACCATGGACCAATACCTGTTGTTGATGATATAGGAAGGTCCTGAAACACGTTCCTTTTGACATTTGGCGATTGACATGTACAATTGTTTATTATGAGATAACTTGTAATGCTGCAACTGATTGTTATGACATGTTTCTCATACACAGATATTGTGTCTCTGTCAAGGGGCTGATTGAGAAACCCAAAGAGCTGTTTATGAAAGATATTTTGTGAGTAATAATCTCTGTTCTATTTGATTTGTATTCATGTTATTCTTTAATATCCGTCACCAGTTTTAATTTGTAAAACTCATTTTCGTTCTTTGAATTACAGGAATCTTCCAAAATATAATGTAACTGCTACTTTACAGGTCTACCCTTCATTCCTACATGGCAATCTAGAAGTAACTGGGTTTTTGTTATCATAATCTATCTAGAAGTTTCTTAACAGTCTTACGTTGCCTCATGCAGTGTGCTGGTAATAGAAGAACTGCGATGAGCAAAACCAGAACTGTAAGAGGAGTTGGGTGGGATATTTCTGCCTTAGGAAATGGTTTGTCTCCAATCTCACAATTTCAGATCCTTTTGGCACTAATATCTTGAGGGAAGAGCTGATGTTGCTATCTCACAATATCTCTGAAGAGGAGCCTGTTTCCCTGCCATTTTTAAGTTCTCCTGGAGTGATGGTGACGGGTGTATTTGCTGCTTCACACCAGATAGACTCTCTACTAATAACAGATGTTCTTTCACAATTATACCACTATCATCATCCATCAATTAATAAGTTCTAAAACCTATTCTTTAATGGAATAATTTCCTCATACTGTTACCAACAAACATATAGATGTGCCTGTTAGAGGGATGCATGCATTTGGGAAAAATAAGTAATAAAACAACCTTAAGAGTTTTGTGCATTTGTTTTATGTGATAATAATATGGACACTTTGTTGGAAGACTACCTTTATATAGTTTCTTAGCTTTTATAATGGAGTCAAGTTCATTGATTATAAAAAAGATGAAAGGAAAGTATTGATTCTTTTGCCATTGGCAATACATTCAATTGGATACATGTATAGGATTATGATTTTGATAGCAAACATGTATGGAATATCAACCAAAATGCCGTGTGCATGTCTACCTTCTTTGAAGGACAACTGAAAGCTAGCTTACCACTTTTCAGTGATTAAGGGCTTAAGTCTTGTTATCGAACTCATTTATGGTATCTATCATCAAAACGGAAAACCTTAGTCCTTGCAGCTTTATCATCCGACTTTGCTTGCCTTAAATATAGGTCACTCAACAAGTGTCATGCATTATCACGAGTTATATATTCTGCAATCTTCTTGTTAGAATTCAGGTTGCCAATTTTTGAAAAGGTTTATACATATCCAAAGTTGTATCAAGTTTCTGCCAGAGCAGGTGAATAATATAAAACTTTATCTTGAAGTTGTTGCTTGTAATTATAGACACAGAGTAAATAGTTCTACGCTTATAGCACACTGTTATTACGTTATGTTATTTTGCTTCTTTTTCTAAATTGTTTTTGCCTTTGTTTTTATCCTGTCAGCAATTTGGGGTGGAGCAAAACTTTCTGATGTACTTGAACTAGTTGGTATACCCAAATCAACAAGTACCACACCAGCAGGTGGAAAACATGTCGAATTTGTCAGCATCGACAGGTGCAAGGTTTGTACTTGCTTGTCTAAGGAGATTTTGGGTTCTCTGCTTTAGGTTCTGTTTCCTTTTCTTTCTCTCTTGCTGCTGTTTGTCAATGAGAGCTTGCTTTGTTCACTGTTTTCTCACTTGACCACAGGAGGAGAAAGGGGGTCCTTACAAGGCGTCAATTCCACTAAGCCAGGCAACAAATCCTGAAGCTGATGTTTTGCTTGCTTATGAGATGAATGGAGAGGTATAACCGATCGAAGAGAACTCGGTATAAAGAAGGGAATTCTATGGACATGGTTGGATTCTCAACCCAATAACTTAAGCTCGACCATCGGGTTCTCACTTCAGTCAGCGCTTAAATTATTGGTGTTACCATGCACATGGTTTTCTTCTCTTTCTTTCCTTCCTCCAAGTTCTTAGTGGTGTTGTACAAAACGATCCAAGACTTGGTCTTCAAAACAATTTATAGCTGCAAGAATGATTCGGGTAAAAATGAGAGATTTTATGGAAATTTCAAATTGCAAAATCATTTCAAAACCTGTAAATGTGTACTTTATCCTGTTCCATTCTCTTCTTCAATTTCTCACCTCAGTCTTGGCATCAATGGCATGTAATCACATGTTTAGAATCTTCCTGCTTACTGGGCAGTTGATTATACTTTTACTTATTCGTTTGTGGAACTCTGAAAGACTCTAAATAGGGATCATGGGTATCCACTCCGAGTAGTTGTCCCAGGGGTTATTGGTGCCCGTTCTGTCAAGTGGCTGGACAGCATCAACATAGACTCCAAAGAATGCCAGGTTAGATTGATAAACTATTCTTAACAGTAAAAATCATATGCTCCGGTTAGTAATCCAAAGGGTGCGGTGTATTGCTGATTTGCAGGGATTCTTTATGCAAAAAGACTACAAAACGTTTCCACCTTCAGTAAATTGGGACAACATTGATTGGTCTACCAGGAGACCGCAAATGGATTTCCCTGTCCAGGTATCTCTTACTAACTTCCTAGGTTATCAGGAATTTTGATAGCCTTTTTTTTGGGGGTGGA